TCTTCATTAGACTTGTTTCGTGTTTCATATTATCTATCCACTCAACAAAACTTACTGATAGCCTATGTTCAAGTATATATTCATAGTCGTAGTAATGGAAAATTACAAATAGTATTTGTATTTCGGGGTGTAAATGGGAGTTAATTTGTTTTGTGAGAGAGCTTTAACTGACTAACTAGATAATCAGGGAAAGCTTTGTGTACTTTTGAAAGTGTGTGTGAATGGTGGTTAATTCTCGGCTACCAATACCGTGGAAGCTGATTCCTTCTTGAACTAACCGTAGAGCGCAGGAGACAACTGTCTGGGGTTGGTTGGCTGGTTGGTTATAAATCTAGCCTTTTTGAAGTGATTTCAGAATTGTGTCTGTATTAGGATCTTATCGCCAGCTACGAACCATCGGAAGGTAAGAAGTCAGAGTGTACAACTTTCGAGGTTTACCTTTTCTAAGCCCCACTCCTTCCCCAAAGCAGAGAGGCAGCGTAGCTGATATGCTGGTTATCTGAGGAAAACACCGTGATGCTGTTGTTACACCCCTGCTCCCGAGACTTATGAATTCTCCCACAGACCCCCCCCCAAACATAGTGTAAATAACTTGCCCTCTATGACGATAACTACTTTTAGTTTGATAGCTATCCAAATGATCTTTCTGGTGCAGTAGATTCTGCAGGAAAATTTGGATTCCATCCAGTGTACCTCGTGGGATCATTGCGATATACACAAACCTGACCACAAAGTTCAATCATCACCCACTACTTATCCAGCGGTCTATCACTCTAAATCTATCAGATCATCAAATAGGGAATGTCAAAAAAACAAATGATATTTAATAAATCTCTATAATAGTGAATAGCACAACACTCTGCTAAATATATGATTATTTATTATTATGTCATATCACGAGGTTGACATACACACATGCCTACAACTATATACAACAAAGGCAGTAGTAATATAATGAACATTACAATAACAGATAATTTTAAAGTTCAAATGGTGTGTGTACAAAATGATTTGTGCTCCCTGAATGGTCATATTATTTATAAAAGTACACATTTAAAAAATGTATAACATCAAACTGTTGTGATTATAATCACTTTGTAGTGCATTTGACTGATCATTCTTCAAATATTCTCAACTAAAAAAAATTGATCTCTAATGCCTAACAGTAAACGACAGGGATGTGTAGCTCAAAGGAAAATGTACCAAAATGTATTAGAATAAAGCTGAATGAGATACCGTCATTGATTCACTGGTAAGAATTGCCCACCACCCATGTCGCTGGTCGGAATTCGATTGCCATTCGATGTACTCGTAAATCTCGCATTATTATTATTATATCCTTTAATTCCTAGAGGAACATAGAGCTTCAGCTGCACTTCTCCATTGCCTTCGATTTTCTGCCAAGTTTTTCACCCCGCTCCAAGTCTGCCCACATGCTTTCATCTCCTCTTCACATCACCCCATCCATGTCACCCTTGCACTGACGACCAACTCACCGCTTCCCTTGCAGGTTCCACTCGAGTACTGGCTTGTCTAGTAATGTCACTTGATGGTTTCCTCAGAGCATGGCCAGCCAATCCATCTCCATTTCTTCCTGACTATTTGTTTCACAATCGGTTCCTGGTTGGTTGGTTCGCTCATTGCCAGAGATCCCTGCTGGTGATCTTTTCTGGCCGGCCATCTGATCTTGAGTATTGAGCGAAGACAACTGTTAATGAAGGTTTGTAGTTTGTTTGAGATGCTCGCATAGTAGGTACTAATCTTGGAAAGAAAATAAGGTTGGATGTGAAGCAAGCAACCGTATCCCGTGAAAAAAAAATAACACCACTGCTACTGAAATAACCACTCGGAGCTCAAGAAATGGAACAACTGACTTCTTACTGTCAGCCCCTCTAATTTTATTATTCTACTATGTTCGTGTTGAATCATGCTGTTTGAAGGATTTTATCATGAGCTAACAAATCAGTTAGAGAACCATTGGAAAAACCGACATGGGCTACTGGGCAGCTGTTTCGTCAGTCTGGTTTGTGACTCTTTGGGAGTACGCACCCACCGCCAGAGTTTGAACCTAGAACCTTCTGGTTACACAAGGTCAGCGAGCTTGTAGACCATTAAGCTATTGGGACTTGATACAGTGTCCAGACCATGAATTCTAACTTCTGTCAATTTACGACCACTTTACAATGTCTTTTTCGATGAGCAACTGCCCTCACCTTCGACCTACTGCACCCTACTGGCCACGGTTTCCTACCAGAACCCCAGATTAACTACCTGAATAGGGCCAGTCACTGGTGAGCATCAGATCAATTTTCAAGTATTGGTTTTGTAAGGATTTTGTTGGTTTGATTGGTTAGAGGAGTTCGCCTTGCAACCATAAGGCTCTGGGTTCGAACCATAGCGATGGATGCATACTGATGAAAAGCCCAAACTAAGACGAAACAGCTGCCTAGCAGCACTCCTGGGTTTTCCCTATGGTTCTCTAACTGATTTCAGCTCATGATGAAATCCTCCAAGTAATCAAACAAAATCTCTACGGAAAACCAATACTTTAAAATTAAATCATATTTCTAAATTATTTAGTGATTTGCAGGTAACACAGTTCAACAGGGTTAAATTTCACTACAATTTCCTTTAGAACCCAAAATTTTTCAGATCACACACACACACAATATGTGATCTGCTTGATATCATAAGTGGCAATCAAGAAAGCAAGCAAGCATAAATGCCTAAAATTATGATTGATTGGTGGATTGAGATGAGAAGTTAGTTGTATACTACTCATATCAGCTAAATAGTGCTACTGAGCCAGCCAGTCAGATAGATAGAAGCAATCTGAAAACCTGAGATCCATTTCACGCATTTTGAAGGGCACTACTGTTCGATATGAGTAGTAGTGGTATACAACTACCAATCAGTAGTAGTACATAGCGCCATGCATTTGTGTTCGTGTTAGTTAGTTAGTTAGCTAGTTAGTTGCCTCATAGATTCATGGTATGGTTTTATGAGTTAGTCAACCGTAGAAGTAAAAATTGGAATTCAACTTTTCTGTGTTTAATCATGCCTCTGTCAACTATTTTCACGATTATATCTCTATGATATCTTTCAAACATATAAAAATTATCTACAGTATATGCGTATTGAGAAAAATGCCTTTCATCATACAATAATAATATGACATAATAAAAAGAGATATAAATTAGTTTGGAAATTGGAGAATAATAATAATAGTAGTTGTAATCAGCATTTTCAGAAGGTGTATTCATACGAACAGTCGTCATTCCATGTGTTTTTTCTAAGAGATAGAGAGAGAGAGAGAAAGAGAAAAAAACAGTAGACGGAACAGTGTAAGTTGCAGTATTGTCTACACTGAACCATGTGTATACACACATATATGTATGTATATATGAAACTGGAATACAAATTTTCGGGGACTTTTTTCTGTAATATAAATTATGATAATTGTAAAATACTAATCAACCACAGAATTGCATCTCCAGAGAAAAATAGAATGCATCGACATTTATGTCATATGGTTATGTAGTCAGTATGCAGTATTGTGGTAAACATCGAATCTATGTTGGAAAATAATTATTAGGAGAAATAATTTCACAGATATGTTGACATATTTAATACTTGTGATCACACCCGGCTGATAACTGCTACCTTGCCGTGGTGGTCGGGCTTGAATACCGTAATGACCCAACATGCTAAACTGACTGGGACTCATGTCCCTGCAGGTCCTACCATGTCAGGAAGGTTGTTTGGATAGCGGTTCAACTAAAAGCAGTTACCATGAGGTACATGGGCTCCAGTATCCAATCGGATCAAATGGCGTATGAAGCCATATAGGTCAGCGGGAATCATGGGAATGCAGCTCCTGACGCTGCTCCACTGCCTTTCGGATTAGACTCCAAGTCAAAGGCTCGGGGGTGGTCCCTTAATGAAACCACCTGCTTCGGTTTGGGCGCCCGGGCAGTATCTCAGCCCTCACACAATGAATTGAATGAAGCAACAAACAATCAACGAAATTTATCGCGTGCTATTACACGTGTTGCAATTTCCTTCTTTCTTCCCTTCCCGATGGTAGTTAACGAATACTGTTTGAACTTGTTAAGCGTGACTGTTTTCCTTCCAGATGAAGTTCTTTATCTGTTCTCTACTTATATATATATATTTTTTTTCTTTTCTTTCTTTTGACCTATGTTGTTTTATTATTATTGTGTGGCGCATCCTTCTTGGTGCCATATTGTACCAAGTTTTTATGCGTTTAAATAAATAAATAAACCTGTGCGTCGGTGGCACAGTGGTTAGGACTCTCGCCGACCATGCAAATGGCCCGAGGCTCGATCCGCTGCCGACGTACACCTGATATCTATGGTCGGCCTGCAAAATTTGGGCTACCGATATCCATGCTGAAAATTCCTTACTTGTACCAAAAATACAGTGTGGAATCAAGCTGTAAATAGAAAATAAAATTAAATAAATAAATGTGTAATCAATCTTCCATTGATCTGTTAACACCTTTTTTGAGTATACAGAGATATTCATATATTACCTCTACATCTGTGTTAATCTTCTTAGCTGTGACTACTGTTTATAGTGAGTTCTCTCTGTCCCTGTTACACTAACTGTGTTTCCATCTATTCAAATACTTTGTCAGATTCCTCAAAACTTCCAGATTATTATGTCATCTGGTTAATAGTGACTAGCGGTTGGATCCAGAAGAATGCTCATTTCTTCCTGTTTGGGACTTGTCAGCCTGATGTACCTGCGCATCATTCCCAGTGAATGATGGCGTTCTCAATGAGCTTCGATCCAGACACCTGTCGTCTTATATAATCAATCAAGTGGAAATTGGAATTTAAAAAAATTTCTGAAATAATTTTTTGTAATTAATTATGAGATGTCAATAGTAATTGACCAAATTGTATTGTAATTCTGTGCTGCCAGTATTCAGTGATTAAAATATTTTCTTTTAATGTATTCTTTTTTGCATTTAGGGAAAATGGTCAAAATTCTGCACTGGAGGATACTCATCGTAATCAGGTTAGTCACTGTACAACCATTTTCATACTTCTTGAGTATAATACATGTTCTTCCATATTTTTATAAATGTATACTTAGTGTCATAGTGGTACAGATAGTGCACGGAGTTATTTTATGATCATGCGCGCTTGCACAACTGTTATGATATTTCTGTTGGACTAACAACCTGGTGACGGTGTTAGACGTTGGCTTGTACATCTTTGGCTTTCTGTGCAAGTTTGGAATCCACCACAAATCCGCCTGATGTCACACAACTACCTAGATGCATTAACCTTTCGACTCCTTTGCAATTAATTGGATGGCACAAAGCATATGTCATAGTCGCAGACACTAGTGGCTAACTCATCTCAGTGTGATTAGAGTAGCCTGTATGTTGTTGTACAGTAAGACCATACATATCATTTGCATACGCCAAACAGTGGATCTACACATCGCATTTCCACATATCCTTCATAGATGTCTTTAAAATGTCATCAATGGTGAAGTTAAAAAGAAATGCGGAGATTAGTTAACTCTGTGTTGATCCTACTATTGGTTAAATAACAAGGCGATTAATGATCAATTGCGTTCAGGGTTTTGACAAACTACACATTGGCACTTCTCTGTAATAGTAGACAGTTCCAAAGAAAAAACAGATGAACTAATCAGAGAGAATTTTTATACCAAGAAATAGAATCACTTGAGATAGGTGTGACAGTGTTCTAACAACTGGCGGCGGGTGATAAACACATGGTCACCGCCTCTATAACTTCAACAAGACTTACTTTTTACTCTTTGAAAATTCATTACTCACGTGTTTTTTTTACTAAGTTTACAAAGCATACTGACGGTTGCTTGCTATTTTTGAAACATATGGTGAGAGACTAAGAAATGCTGCCTTTTATTTTTATTTTTTATTTTTATTTTTGATTACAGCTTGATTCCACACTGTTTTTTTGGTACAAGTATGGAATTTTCAGCGTGAATATCGGTAGCCCAAATTTCGCAGGCCGACCATAGATATCAGGTGTGCGCCGGTGTGGGCTCAAACCCCGGACCATGTGCATGGTCGGCGAGAGTCCTAACCACTGTGCCACCGACGCACAATCGTTTGTAATATTAAGCCATTTTTAAAAGTAGATACGGTCATGGCGCCTCGTTTCTCATCAATGGAACACTCAGCTTTTCATAACCTCGAAAATAATCCAGTCAGCAGTCCCCTGATCACAGTCCCAACACCATTTTTGAAAGATTATTATTATATCCTTTAATTCCTAGAAGAACATAGGGCTTCAGCTGCCCAAGTCTCCATTGCCTTCTGTTTTCTGCCAACGTTTCCATCTGGCTCCAAGTCTGCCCACATGCTTTCATCTCCTCTTCACATGATTTCCTCCAAGTCACCCTTACATCAACGACCAATTCGCCGCTTCTCGTTCGGGTTCCACTCGAGCGATGGCCTGTCTAGTGATGTCACTTGATGGTTTCCTCAGAGAATGGCCAGTCAATCCATCTCCATTTCCTCCTGCCTATTTGTTTCACAATCGGTTCCTGGTGGGTTGGTTCGCTCCCAGAGATCCCTTCCTGTTGGTGATCCTTTCTGGCCACCTACCTGACCTTGATTATTGAGCGAAGGCAACTGTTAATGAAGGTTTGTAGTTTGTTTGAGATGCTCTTTATGACGCGCTGGCCAAGTCTCTGATCCAATCGTATAGTAGCACTGACTTCACATTGGAGTTTTAGATCCGGATGTTATTTTTGACTGTGAGTGGGGCTGTTGACCTCCACACAGACTTGTATTGTTATAAATCAATACTAGTAATGAAGGTCATGGAATTCCCGGTCAGTTTAAATTCAAATTGTATACATTTTTACCAACTATACTAGTTATTTAAGTGTGTAAGAAAACTTGTAATTGAGTATATATGGACCAGAATCGAATTCGCAATTTATAAATTACACATTTCGAGGTCTGTGGATTTGTCACACTGCTCACTGAGAAACCAAAACTATTCAAACAACAGTATGTGATCTGCAATCAGGAAAGCAATGGAAGTAGGATGGTGGCATATATATACATATATTACTAACTGATATGAGTAGTATATAGGATTATGTTATTTGCAGTACAAGGATTGCATATTTTCTCTAATTTTTGGTATATGTCTGTAAAATTTCGCAGTACCAGGCTAGATCATTTCATTAACACTTACTTTATGATAAAATCAGCAAACAATTCCTTGATTGATTAGATATACATCTTTTAGATTTCAAAAGACCATTTAGTGGGCATTGCTCTGGTTTAGGAATTTAATTGTTCGTAAGCGGAAATGCCTACTACCAGTAAGGTTTGGTACATTATTATTATCATTACTGTTTCCTTGGGTTCCTAGTGGAACATAGGGCTTCAACTGCACGTCTCCACTTGCTTCTGTCTTCCTTCTGCTGTACTTTTCACGTGCTTTCATGTTAGTTCATACTGTCTCAACTTCTCTTCACACGATCTCCTCCATGTCACCCTTGCACCGACGACCCACTCGCCGCCTCTTTTTCGGCCTGGTTCCACCTGAACAATGGCCTGACGCGCGCGCGATGTCACCCAGCGGTCTCCTCAGCCGCGAGTGTCCAATCCACCTCCACTTTCTCCTGCATATTTGTTGGTTGGCGATTGGTTTGTTCTTGTTTTGTTTGTTCCTCCACATAGTTTCTTGTTGGTGATTCCTTCCGGCCCGGCCATCTGATCTTCAGTATGCAGCCAGCGAAGAGAGTTGTAGATAAAGGTTTGGTCTGCAACAGGCTGTTGGAAATATTCTTTGTGACCCGCCCCCCGCCAACTTTCTGATCCGTATAGGAGAACTGACTGACTTTGAGGTTGTTTGTATTGAAAATCCGACCGAATATTGTTGTTGATGGTGAGTTGAGTGACGAAGATTTCCAGATTGGTTTCAGGTTGATGAATGTGTTTCTCGCCTTCCCGATTCTCGCTCGACTTGACATCCTCGTCCGTTCCGACTGGCTGTAGTTGAGACAATGCTCCCTATATAAGTGAGTGAATGAAGTGACCTCTTTCAAATCCCTCTCGTTGATGGTGATTGACGCTGGATGTTTCTGCTGTTGGTTAGTTATTTTCATAACCTTGGTACAAAGTAGCCATAAAGCTATCATTGAAGAATCTTTTTCTATCATCTACCGTGTACCAAAAAAATACCCAAAGACCTCTACATACTGATTAGTCCAAACAACAGGAACTATATCAGTTCGCCTAAAACAACCGAGACAGATCCAGGCACTATTGCTACCCTGGACTACTGTATAGCCTATAAATATCTATACAACCTGCATTAGTTTTGGTAATTTATATGGATATTTGATTTTTAGTGTTAGGTTTATGCATGTTATCGCTTGCAGGTGTTTCTGAGCTTTAATTTGTTGTTCTTATTGATTCGATGTTGCTAACTGACAATACTTCTTTATCTGTTACGGATATATAACTGTAGGACCTGATGAAGAAATTGTTCACCAATCTCGATTGCTAGTTGTTAGGATTAATATCAGCTTACACAGGGAAGACCTTAACTTTTTATCACTTTCACATGTTCTAGTGAGATCTTGAAGATTACTACATCGAAAGGCATACTTTTGAAAATAGTCTAGGCTAAATATATTCGACTTGGGATTATCATTTTTGACTTGCAGGTTAATTTTCATTTGGCATATGCGTGACATCCTGCCTTCGATCGAACAACATGTCTACTACACAGTAGTTCACTCCTTTCTTCTTTACGACTGTGAGACATGATCTATCAAAGGAGTGGACGCGAAGGAGCTGGCTGTCTTTGATGTTAGCTCTTTACTTTCTACCTCTCGTGTTAGGTGGTATTAAATGGTTGAGTAATATTGAGGATGGAACGATGGAGTTTTAAGGTAAAGAGGGAAAGTCAGTTGATGTTAGCTGAAATAGCATTAGGTTGAGAAAGTGTTAGAGCGGGGGATGGGGGTGGTTAAACCAAAATATTTCATCAACCCATGAAGTCTTTGATTATTGTTGGTTTCAGAGACTTAACGAAGTGTAAATTGCCTTGGTTTATGGTTCTAAGAATTAAATGTTAGAGACTATTGGTAACATGGATCAATATCTTTGTCATCGGTGTAAATTCATTCTCTCTCTTTCTCTCTTATTGTTTTATCCTTACGTATCTATTTATTAGAGTTTCTTTGAATTATTATTATTAGGTGTGGGAACTGGAACTACCACACTTTAGTGCAAAGTCCCTAGTTGAAAATTCAGTTTTATATATAATAATAATATGTATGCTTTAAATAGCTCTTACCTGATTATTCATTTGTCCTCTAACATTATCACTGAGACTAAATCAACGCTGATTCCTTGATATGTTATTTGACCAGATGTGAATCTAAGAAAAATGGAAATTAAAGTATTCACAGTGAAAAAAGAAAACACTTGTACACATCCACACACACACACACATTCCTCTGTGTGTAGCTAACTAAACTAAAGGCGTGTACACGGTTGAGAGTCAAGTTGTTTCTTTCAGGATCAGCATAAACGGGACGAACCTGAAATAACCTACCTCCTTCACCCACCTACATGGGAAGCATCGTTTCAACTACAGGCCAGCGGACGGAACTGACGAGGATATCAAAGAAGCGAGGATTGGGAAAGCAAGACAAGCTTTCATTACTCTCAAGTCTGTGTGGAGGTCAACAGCCCCACTCACCATCAAAAATAACATCCGGATCTAAAACTCCAATGTGAAGTCAGTGCTACTATACGATTGGATCAGAGACTTGGCCAGCGCGTCATAAAGAGCATCTCAAACAAACTACAAACCTTCATTAACAGTTGCCTTCGCTCAATAATCAAGGTCAGGTGGGTGGCCAGAAAGGATCACCAACAGGAAGGGATCTCGGGGAGAGAACCAACCCACCAGGAACCGATTGTAAAACAAATAGGCAGGAGGAAATGGAGTTGGATTGGCTGGCCATTCTCTGAGGAAACCATCAAGTGACATCACTAGACAGGCCATCGCTCGAGTGGAACCCGAACGAGAAGCGGCGAATTGGTCGTTGATGTAAGGGTGACTTGGAGGAAATCATGTGAAGAGGAGATGAAAGCATGTGGGCAGACTTGAAGCCAGATGGAAACGTTGGCGGAAAACAGAAGGCAATGGAGACTTGGGCAGCTGAAGCCCTATGTTCTTCTAGGAATTAAAGGAAATAATAACAATACAAGTTAAGTGATAAAAATAATAATAATGGCTTTTTTTTCTGAACAGTGTTCATACAAACATAGAGAATTTTGAGCAAAACTTATTGCATAACAGTTTCTCTTTTTGTATTGGATCTTCAATGTCAAATAATAATAATAATAATAATTGACAGTAGATCGCGTGAAACACAATGCCTGCTGTCTGACCTGAAGAGAAAATCAATTGCGCTGATGATAATTCTACTTTGTCTCTCCATTTGAGAAATGCACGATATTTGGTTGCAAGCCAATTTAAAGAAAAAAAAGAAAGCGAAGGTGTAAATTTTTAGACTCAAGGACAATATAACTACTGAATAATTTAAGACTACAGTAGTAGTAGTAGTAGTAGGCAGTTAAGTTTCATTTCTCAGACACTGGCAATTTTTAAATAAAAATCTTGAGGACAGTTAACTCATCCACTGGGTGGGATGGGATACGTCACTATTCATGTTTAGTAGAAACTTGACAATTAGACATGCGTCAGTGGCATAGCGGTTAGGACGCTTGCCGACCATGCACATAGTCCCGGGTTCGATCCCTGGCCACAGACGCACTCCTTTACCTCGCTAAGCCAAAAATAATCCTGATAGAGAGGAAAGGTTGGGCATGAGGCTAGTAACCCCATCCTCTAAAATTTAAACACTGCTACAGGAACTTCAAGCCACTGGCTTGAAGCCCTGTGTATGTTCCACTGGGAACGTGAAGGAAAAATTATTATTATTTATTGTGATGTAGTCATTTATTGTTATTATTGTGATTGAATTTTTTCTGTTTCACATGTAAAACTCTTCATAGATGTGTGAACTTGTTCGTCAGCACACAGATCAATGGAGTAGCCTCAAGTCATCACAAATGAAAGAAGTTTATGACTTAGTATTGAGCTTCTTTGATGCACGTAAAGATTTACTAATCAAGGTAATGATTCTATTTTGTGTGTACAAATGTATGTTTTAATTTGTTATCTATCTATCTACTGCGGTTGGGTTTCCCTTTTGGCTTTGCTTTCATTTTATTGTTCCTCTTTCTCCCCCCCCCTTTTTTTAAATATAATCCACTTCTGTCCAATTCAAGGAAGTTAAATTTCATTTTTTTTTGTTATTGGAAGCTTTCCTCTTAGACTACACAGGAAATCTTAGTTATACATGAATTCCCTTTCGTTTTTTTTTGCTTGCTTGCATAAAATCGAACAAAGCAATAACAAGAAATACAAGATGGAGTAGAAGAAAAACGGTTCTATTTAAAACGAAAAAATTTTTTATTTCGTCCGTATCTATTGTCTCAACTGCTTCCAACTGGAACAATAGAAGTTAATACTTATATTAGGGATTAAATTGCGACGAATAATTAAAAAGGACTTATAATGTATATATGAACATGAATCGTAAATGTTAAGTTTTATTTGCTTATTGTTTTGCGTTCCAAATGGAAGTTTCGGTAGCAGTTGTGTAATTCTCTTTTTTGTCTACAGAGTAGTGGGGTTGCTTGCCTCATGGCCAACATTCTCCAGGATATTTTTTCATTCCTTCATGTTCCCAGTGGAACATAGGGCCGAAAGCTAGTGGCTTGAAGTATCTGTAACAGTGGTGTTTATTTTTACAGGATGGGGTTACCAACCCCATGCCCAACCTTTCCTCTCTACCAAGATTATTTCTGGCTTAGCGAGGTAAAGGAGTGCGTCTGTGGCCAGGGATCGAACCCTGGACCATATGCATGGTCGGCGAGCGTCCTAACCGCTGTTCCACCGACGTTTTTCCAGGATAACTATCGGTTAATTGAGGTTTAAGAGTTCGACGGCTAGAAATCGAATCTCAGACCATATATATATGGCAAGTATTCTACTAGAGTGAACCACCGACTCACCAAATGTAAAGTTAATAAAATATTAAAACATTACTGTACTTATATATATATATATATATATATATATATATATATATATATATATATATATATATATATATATATATATATCTGAACGAAGAATATTCTTTTCAACAATTTCCCCTTCAGGTTCTTACATTTGTAAAATATAATATTTGTGGTCGTTACAATAAAGGCCAGTTATGTGGTGGATACATTTTTTACGTAGAATAACAAATTAGTTATAGGGTGTCAAAATAAATAGTCGTATTTGTGTGACAAACGTGCTTGGCTGAATTCATTGACAAAATATTGTTAAATCGGAGACAATGGTGGTGATTAATCATAATAGAATTGTAGAGCGTGGGGTAGGAAAATTGACAAGTCAGTTGAAGGTTATAAAATGTGTTAGGTGAGTGGCTAATACAAAGTGGTCTGAGTTGAACAGGAGATAATAAGACTGGAATGAGAGGTTCATAATGAGATAACGAATATGTTAAGTGAAACAAGTGAAGGCATATATTGAGAAAACAGATAATATCACTAATAATAAGTCCGTATAAATGAAAAATTCGATAGTATTGAGGGGATGTTTGCATAAAGGGCATAAATTATGACGAATAACAATAATAACTGTAATAATAATATTTATAATAATAAGCAAAGTAAAAAAGAAAAAAACCAAGGGGAAGGTGCACGCTTGGTGAGAAGAAAAATCTTCAATCCAAGGTTGGCCACGGTAGGAACAGCGTCTGGACGTGTTCTTTTTGGATACAAAGTTCCAGTTTAGTCTATCTTATTGCAACAGCTTCAGCTATGTGTAGGAGACGTAAGTGAACTGTACGGGATAACGACTTTGGAATTCGGTATATAACTCTGAACGCTGTGTTGACATCGATGCGATGTCCAGTATCGACCAAGTGTGACAGGATCAAGCTTTTTATGCACTTAATTTCCCCCCTGCTGAACCAAGCTGGTAAGTGTTCTCGAACCCATAGACAAACCTGCCTAATCGTGCGCCCTATATAACTTGAACCACAGGAACAATTGAAATGGTATATGCATGAAGAAGAGCTAAGTTTAGGTTAGACATCTTTGAGTTGCTGGGTGAGCATTGGACGGCTAGTGAAGGATAGACACAGACGCGCAGAGTAGAAAGTTTTCTTGATCGCCCTGGTTAAACGTTGGGATAGAATCTCTGCAGGAGTATCTCCCTTGAATTGGAGACCTAAAAACAAAGGCTTTTTCTCCACAGTTGCCAGTTCATGTTTACGACTATTGTAACCTATGTTGGCTTTAATGAAGTTCTCTGGATATCAGTTCTCGCTTATAATGTCTCGGATGATCTGGAGTTCTTTCTCTACTCAGTCTTCGGAACAAATAGACCTCGCTCTAAATGCTAAGCACCTGATTAGATTACGTTTGTTTTTCATCGGTACGAGGCTAAGGATTTGTGTATATGAGCTTTGGTCTCTAGCTTTCTAAATATGGTTCTTTTGACGGAACCATCCTCTCCTCTCGTCAGTAGAAGTGTAAAGAGTCGTTGTATTCTCCCTCGTATGTGAAATGGACCGCTGGGTGAGCATTATTGAAGTTGTTCAAAATCAAATATTATTATATTTTATAATTGTAAGAACCTGAAGAGAAATTTTTGAAAAGAATATTCTTCGTTCAGATTGACTTTTAATTCATAATATGGGAATATTTCACGCTATCAAATCTTACTACTGTATAACGCTGTTTGACTACTTTATCAAAATAAAATTGTATGCATGCATGGAGTGGAGTTATACTCTACCACAATGCCCAAGTTTTATACTTGTATCAACAACTAACTATCAAATTACATAAGGTAATAGAAAATGATTCATAAACAATTAATATGTAGGAATACATATATAAATATATTATTGTGAGTGAAGCTCATTCATTTAGATATCGGATATGTTTAATAATAATAATAATTTTTCCTTTACGTTCCCAGTGGAACATAGGGCTCCAAGCTAGTGGCATGAAGTTTCTGTAGCAGCGTTTAATTTTTACAGGATGGGGTTACTAGCCTCATGCCCAACCTTTCCTCTTTACCAGGATTATTTCTGGCTCAGCGAGGTAAAGGAGTGCGTCTGTGGCCAGGGATCGAACTCCGGACCATATGCATGGTCGGCGAGCGTCCTAACCGCTATACCACCGACGCACCTATGTTTAAACATGGTGTTTAATAAATTGATTATGATGTACATAAGTAAGAGTGATAAGAAATCAACATTTACACTTCACAAAAAAACGATATAAACAATTAATGCTTGAAAAGGTTAACTAAATGAGCTTAACTCACTCATAATGTATTTTCTGACTCATATTTCATTTTGTTCATTACCTTACATAATCTTCTAATTTATGAACCTCACTCAATCAATGTATTGTTGCTACCCCTCTCTCTCTCTCCCTACTCTTTGTTTTATTCAAGAGACTTCAGTCACATATTACATAAGTACAGCAGTATTTTTATATCTTACCATATTCACACTTCGATTCATCCATATACGGTAACCATACTTAATTGTTGGTCAACATCTTATCTCCAATGAATTATATAGTATGTTAAACTAGTAATAAAAGCGTAACAACAGATGACAAGGGCCAGGCAACAGATCGTTTATTAAGGAAATCAGTACGTATTTATGTATTTTTCATGTACATTATTATAGCTTATTCGAGCAGACAAACACATTCTCCTGATTGGTTGTTTCTTGCTCAAGGTTATTCTGTACTGCTTGTGATTGGTTTCTCAGAAAGTTAAGCCATATATCTGCGAATCTTATTTGCTCACGTTAAGTCTGCTGTGATTGGTTGTTGAATCAGTCTTGTTCATATTTCCTCACGGCCAATATTAGCGACATAGACACTGACGTAAATTGATGTCTACCAATTGGCTAGCAGCCTGCTCTCACCACAAAAGTATTAACACTGAATATTCAGATTGTACGTAATTGTTCAAATACCGATGAAATAAACAACGCATCCGTTTTAGCCCTGTTCCATATATATTTCTGTTACTGCTTCGTTCAAATTCTAGAAATATAGGTGCATTTTGTTGATTATTTCAGAAGGAATTATTCAGAGAATTCTATTTTGTGTGTGCAAACATATTTCCCAGAATAAAATTATTATTATTATATCTGCATATTAATATGTATATGTGCGTCGGTGGTGTTCAGTGGTAGGATACTTGCCAAGCACGCCTCAGGTGGGGTGGTCCTACGTACTATCCGTGTGTTGTACTGCTCAGCAGTTTTCTCGGTCCTGCTTTATGGCTGGCTTTGAGACGCGGTCATTGAAAGTGAAAGATATGTAAAGGCCAGATATTTTTGATCCTAAGTGTCTGCGTTCTGTCTCTTTGGTGTGTGTTAAGTGGTATAGTAGGGTGAAGTTAGGCTTTGGTCGAGTGTTAAGGTGAGGAGAAGAAATCAGTCGACAAGATTGTTAATCATCGCCTTCGTTGACAATCAATGTTAGGTGAAATAGGATGGATCAGGTCAGAAAAGAGCCAGCGTAGTTATGCAAAAAAAATGGTTTCATCAGTCAATGAAATCCACAACAGGTGGTTTAAACCAGCCAACAGCCACGCCGGGAGATGTAGACTTCCTGACCGGTTTGGGTTCTCGGGATGGTAAGAACCAATGAAGACTGGAGATAATTGGTGATATTACTCAAAATCGTTCTCAATGAATAGTGTGGATACATTCACTCTTCGTGATTTATAATATCCAATAAAACTGTATTGTTCTTCCATATTGCTATTCTTTTTGCCTCATATTTCTGTTTATTATCCCTCTCCCTTTTTTGAATCTATCTTTACTGTCTTCTATCGCTTTGTGTGCTACATATGGAGAGTTTGGCAACTCAAATTGTTGCACATCTGTGCAAAGTTTTACGTTGAAAGCAGTTAGTCAGTCAACGTTCTATCCACCGGCAACGAACTCCTATACCTCAGTTAGGCAGTAGTACGCCGAGTAAAGAAAAAAAAATGTTGAGCGTGTGAGACTAGTTAGCCCACTCTTTTAAAAATAATAATAATAAAAAGTCACTGCTACTGAAACCTTAAAGCTCAAACTCGAAGCCGTGTGTTCCACTCGTAATGCAATGAAATAAAATCAAAATAAGTATTTACAAGAAAGTTCAAAATATAGTAACAATAATAATAGCAGCAAAATGTTTGTCTAACATACAGAATTTTCAGCTTCGTTTTATCTACTCTTCAAAGAGACTTTTTAGTTGAAACAGTAATCTATAGTATGTCATTCAACAGGATTTTGTTGTACCTGTAACATGATCTATACGCTGACGTATTTTCCCTTCAAAACACTTCAAGCGGTATGTTGGAAGTCGCTTGAAAATGTACGTGAGTATAGATTGTTCTGCAAGAACTTAAATAGACAGTTTAAACAAAGTATAACTAAATAAGTGTGACACATCATTGTGCTCTATGGAAAATGTGGTAACCCAATAATTTCAACAGAACTACATCTTTATTCGTTGCAATATATATTTTATTATTACTGTTATTGTGCATCGGTGGCACAGCAGTAGAATGCTCGCCAACCACGCAGGTGGTCTAGGGTTCGATGCCCGGCCACTAACGCACTCCTTTACCTCTCTGAGCCAACGATAAGGCTGATAAAGGGGGAGGCTAGTAACACTATCCTGTAAAAATTAACACCACTGCTACGGAAACTTCAGGCCTCTAACTTGAAGCCCTATGTTCCACTGGGAACGTAAAGGAATAAAAAAGTAACTATTATTATTATTATTATTATTATTATTATTATTATTATTATTAGATAATGAAAGAAGTTCAGGAAGAACAGAAACGTGAACTACGCATAATACAAGATCGTGAAATTAAAGAAATGAAAGCACAACAAACAAAAGCATCAATAGAATCAAATCGTTCAGTAATGAATGATCGAAAGTTACGTAATAAAGCAGAACGTGATCGTCGTATACGTGAATTAAATGATTACAATACAAAACGCTTTATTGATCAACGTAAATTACAAGCTCAACGACATGATAAACAAACAAAAGAATTAAATAAACGTCATGCATTAGAAGAACAAGAAGTTGTCAATGGAATTAAAAAGGTGGGGGATATAACTATGTTGTGTTGAAAGCCAATCTCTTCAGTGTAGTTTTGTATTTCTTGTATTATTTATTAATTTGTACTGTAATTTGTACTTTCAGTCTCAAGCAAATCCAAAACACTATAGCTTTCAATGATATAAAGTATAAAAATGTTCTGTTTTAGACTACTGTTAGTTATATATTTAAACCGGGACGAGTTGTACGTCCGAGGGCTACGTGGAGGAGATGAGAGCTTATAGGCAATCGTGCAGCCAGCCGAAGAGGACTGTGTAGAACATGGTGAAGTGAAGATGTGCTGTTGAACACCTATCTCCCACCTGGGACCTAAAGGAATAATAACAGTAAAATTAGTGATAAGCTTTCATGAGACAGTTGTAGATTAGCAGACTGCAGTCATAGAACCATTGGGAAACCTGACAGTACTGGACAGGTGTTTCGTCCTGGCCTGGGACTCTTCACCAGTATGCACTCCCCACAGTCATTCGAACCTAGGACCTTCCAGTTACAAGACGAGCTTGTAGACCATTAAGTCACTAGGACCCAAACCAACGGCCACTCCATGAATGTCACCGGTGGCGAGTATTTGCCCTGACACTCGGCCTGCTCTGTACCCAACTGTTCACAGCTTCTCACTAGAACCCAGATAACTGTTCACCTAAATAAGGCCAAATTCACGTACGTTGTCTGGATTAGATTCTCGGCTAACACGCTCCTAAATTTTCACTTAGCCAATATAGTAAACCCAGAATAGGGAGGTGGTGGTTTAGCGTCAGGCTAGCAACGTCATCCCGTAGAAACAACACCAGTAGTGCCACTGAAGTTTCTAGAGTTTGAAGCCCTGTGTTCCACTTGGAGTGTAAAAGAATGAAAAGTAAAACTCTTACGTACCAATATTTAAAAAAAATATCATTCACATCTACTTTATTTGAAAAAAATCTTTTTTCTTCAATTTCTTTCAATAGGAACGTGAAGAATTTATTCGTAAATATGAAGAGGATCTATTAGCCTTGAAACGTGCAATTGTTATTTAGTTGCTACAATATATCTATTCTCTCAATAAGGAAAAAAGATAAACAGAGAGAAATGAACACATTTCCTGTTTCATTGTGAATTCCCACTTGCACAAAAGATTCCTTTTAATTAACTACTACTATTATTATTATTGTTATAAGTAAGAGTGTATGTATTTATGTGTGAGTGTATGTATGTATGCATATTATTATTTTTTATCTCTCAGGGTAAGCACTACCATTTATTGTGTTTTTTTCTTTATGTCTGTGTTGTGATGTGACAATTCACTCTACTTTATATTTTAACCCTGCTATCTCTCCCCCTCTCTGTCTGTCATTTAATAATATTCATGACAAAAACACAGTTGTGGTTATTAGCGTTGTTTATGATGATGATGATGATGGTGATTTGAGTGACAAGTGTCATCATATTCGTTAAATGAGACTATCACAGTCATCCTCAAACATCCTTCCTGTCATCATCATCATCATCATGACCACAGATGCCAAATTCATTAAACACTCCATTCACAAACACACAATCTTTTGTATAAATGTTTACTGTACTACTATTTGCTACTTACAAATTTAGTTAGTAGCATAGAGTATATGAATTGAATAATTGAAAATAAGTAATAGCACAGTGATTGTATAATGAATTGAATATAAATAATAATAGTTGTTATTCTTCATGTTAATATTTCTCCCATTTACTCCTCATAAAGAAACATACGCACGTGATCTCACTGATTGTCTTCTATTACAGTCAGTTAGTTATATGCTGTACTATCTCTTCTCTCTCTCTGTTTTTTTCTTAACCGCTTCCTCTTATTGGTTTTGAAATGTGATTGTTTAATCCGTAATCATTTTGTTGAGTATGCTTATGGATGTATGTATGTATGTACGGGTGCACATATGTGTCTAATTTTGAAGTTGATCTCTTGTCTGTGATAATAATACACATTATTACTCCCTTCTGTTAAAACAACTCATGAGGCGTTTGTCTGTTGTTTGTGGTGGCATTGAGAGAGAGAGAGAGAGAGAGAGTAATGACAATCAAACAAGTCAACAGAACCTACACACGCACATACACACACAGATAAACATACACTAATTGATTATAAATTGTAATAGATACCTTGTCTCTCCCCATGATTCAATATAAGAATAACACCGAATAAAGAGGAGTATATCTCACCCCTGTCTGTGTATGTATGTATCATCAGTATGCTCCGTTTAGTTTGAGTGTTGAGAGGTAATGATTAACAATCATACGTGAGTGTGTTATGCATTTAATGTTATAATAATAATAAAGCAACTCCTTATTCATTTATTCCACACCTTGACTCTCTGGCAGTCTTTTCTGTTGTTGCAAAACAAGTTGAAACATTTAAAAAATAAGTGTGTGTGACGACAGCAGTGAGGTGGGGAGAATGAAAATATACATCAACACACACATGCACACCTATTTGTAATCTGCTCCTGTGTGTGACAACAAAATCGATTACAAAGCATTGCATTATAGTAGTAGAATAGGGTGTTTGTTTATATAGAATAGAATAGAATACGGGAACAATTCATGTGTATTTTTATTGAAACACCCTATACTTTTAACTAAAATACGACCACCACACTTCTACTACTACTCTAGTGTTGTCTGCACATTTCATATAATTGTATACACAATGCATATTTAGAGAGAAGAGAAATCATTATTATAACTACTATTATTTTGGATTATCACAAAACACAACGTAGATAATGTCAGAATGTAATGATTACTCATTTCCTGTCTAATTATGGACATTATTATTACTATTTGTTGTTAAGTTCTGAATTATATATAATAACAATATTATGTCTGTAGAGTTATATTATATTACTGCTCATGTTATTAAATGTTGTTCTCTCTCATTGTTTTTTTTCCTTTTTCATTTTTTATCGCCATTTTTTGTATACTCTTGTAAACATCCTCTTTCTCTCTCCCTCTCTCTTGTATTGGATCGCTTCTTTAACCTATCTGTACTTAGTTCATTTGATATGTCTTGTCTTTAATACCATTACGATTTATTCCTATTATTATTATTATTGAATTGACAGTACACTGATGAACCCCCCTCCTCCCTACTTGAGTGTAGATTTAAATGATAATAAAAAGAGGTGTGTGTTGTTTTTTCTCCTCTCCTCTTTTGTTGAGTATTATTGTAATCATTGTTGTTTCAATTGATGAGTAACAACTTTATTCCAGTTGTCGTTTGTTTTTCTAAAAATTTTATTTGAAAAATAAAACTAACTATGCACTTCTTGTTTCTTCGTTTTCTTTTCGCAATTGTAGTTGTGTTTTTTCTTTTTCTATCTTGTGTGATATGTTATATTGTGTAGTCTGAAGGATACGTCATTGTGTTAAGCATTTCTGAATTTGACACAATCCAAACACCCCCCCACACACACAGAGACACAATTTCTCAAATCCACCTTCTTCTTTAGTAGGTGGTTATTTTATTAATTCATCTGTGTTTTTCAATCTTTCTTTTCTTCCTCTCCTCCCTACTTTTTTCACCCTCTCTCTCTCTCTGTCGTTAATTACTGTTTGTACATTGTCTTTCGATGAATTTCCATAATACTAGGTGTATAGATATTTACTACTACTAACTACTTAAATTGGAGTTTATTATTATTATTACTATTAATTATTCAGTTATTACTATTATTATTACTATTCAATTCATACAATAAATAAAAATTTCATTTGAATAGTTTAATTTCTTTTTTTCCTCTGTTTCAAATTTAACAACACACACTTTTGTGAATCGTAGATGTGTGTGTGTTGATATGGTTGGAGGCGAGCGATCGGTGGGATATTTTGAACCTAGAGTTTTGTGTTTGTTGGTATTCGTCAGCAAGGTGTGAAGGAAGTTATGTCCCTTCTGATCAGCCACTGGTGTAATCAGAGACGTTTAGCATCACTGAGCTATTCGAGCTAAACAATTGACCTTCATATAAGATTGTGTAATGGATACTAGTGTCATACATCTATCTACTCCTTGGTGTTGCTGCAGAGTCAATCAAGTTTAGCGGCAAGCCACTTCCAGGCCAATGGAAGACTAGACGCATGAGATTGGTTGTTATTACTTTAATTTTCAAGAATTGGTTTGTAAGGATTAGATTTTGTTTTCACGAGTTTGACCAAGGATTGATTGATATCAGTTAGAGAATCACGGAGTACTGGAGTACAGCTGCTGTTTCATCCTAGTTTGGGAATCTTCGGCAGTATGCACCCAACCACCAGGGTTCGAAACCAAGGACCTTCCGGTTAGAAGGCAAACTGGCTTGTATACCATTCAACGACTAGTCCATGAATTCTAACTTCTATGGATTCGTGATTTAGCGCGACCACTAACCGCCGATGTCATCCATCGGCGGGAAATCCATCCTCACACACTTGACTGGATGAACCTCACTGGTCACGACTTCTCACTAGAACTCCAGGAAACTACTTTAATAATGTCCGATGAAAGACACTAAATATGTAAGTATGCGTTTGATAATATTTACGACATGTATATTTAGGTAAATCAATTGAAATGCATAACCAATCGTATTTTATTAGGTCAAATAGTCCATGGTAGGTAAAGATTGAAGTTTCTTATTTTCTGTACAGGGACTGCAGGTGAACACTTGTAGATACACTGTGAAGTAGAGTCAATAGAATTTTGTCCTTTAATCGTAGACACAGGAATCGAAAGTGTTCTGAAGATAAAGAAATCGGAAGCAGTATAGAAAGAATTTGACCGAACTCTCTGAGCTTGCATAATTGCATGAATTAATAACCCTTGAATGAATGGTGGATAGTTTATTAAAGATAGTTTTCCTTGTAACGGAAGTTGTATTTTCAAAGGGTCATTTCTCTTCGTTGTGACATACACAATACAGTTTTGAGGATATCTAATGGCCAACAAAAGTGAATATATGCACTAGACCCCTAGAAAACAAACATTTCCCTAGGGAATGTTTGTACTAGATAGGAAAAAAAAGACTACTGAAAAGAAAATATTGTCCACCACATTTTTGCCCGCAAAATATCGTCGACCGCTTATTCGTTTCGTCGTTCCACCTAGTCATTGATGAAATATCCCAAAGATGCAGTTTAACACTTAATTCGAATTGTGACGTCACTTGAATGATTAAGACAAATATGGTTATAGGAAGGAATATAGAGAGGTGTTAGTTGATTCGTTAGTCAGATAATGGGGTTATATGGAGATTTATACCAATGAGTCCCAAACATAGACGAAACTCTTGCCCAGTGCTCTCTGGCTTCCGAAAATCCCCTAACTGATGTCGGTACATGATGAAATCATAGAAAGACCCAGAAAGATAGAGGAAAAAAATGAGAAAAATATAAAAATTGCGACTGTATAGCAATAATGGGGAATTAATCAGACGAAAAGATGACTGCAGATTTCCTTGTTTGTTCTATAGTGAAACTACAATAAATAAAAATATACAGAAAGAAGAGTTTTCAAAAGAGACTTTATAGATTGGTGACAAATTACGACTTGACCACCTTTAGTTCTGTTCCAATTTAGTCCTATGTCAGTTACCACTGCTCGTCGAGGCGGCCGATGGCTTGGCGTATGTGACACATATCTTAGCCATTTCTATCGATGTAACTTCACTTCACCGATTCGGATTCCCCACTGACCGAACACTATGCCTAATGCCAATATTACTCAACCATGTTACTACCAGTTAACAAGGGGAAACGGTAGAGGACGAAAGACTTGGTTAAGGAATGTTTATTTGCCAATTGATATCTCTATATAGGCAAATTATGTATACCTTATCTTCAACGCACTATTTGCTTAGCTGTTCGTGTTGAGATACTTCTGGACTTCATATTGTGTTTCTTTTACGTCTCCCATGTATCTCTACAACGCTGTATCATTTGCCTTCTCTGACATCAAATGTATCTCCCTGCTATTTGATGTTTTTACGCCAATGAACGTCTCTCTTTATAT